CCCGATAAACATACTGCCCGAAATAAGTACCGGTATGATGCGCACATGCAGCACGTAGCATGTACACAACATGAAAATGACTTCTCCACTACACACAAGTCAGGTCCGAAAGTTAGTTCGTGCCCGAAAGTCAGTACCCACCCGAAAGTTAGTACGGGCGTGGTCACTAAATTCGAAAGTAAATACGTACTTATTTACGGACTTTTACGGTACTTGCTTATCATTCAACCACTCTGGCAAGGTGACCGCCTACCCCAGAGGACCACTACGACCAGGGCCGAAAGGTCTACTTTCCAGCCATCCGGCACAGGGTTGACCCACTATCTGCTCGTGGGCAGCACATTTTCCGGGTCCCTTGAGCAGTCGTCTCACACAGGGTTTCGCTCTATAGCCGATGTGTGTGCTCAGTGACGTTTCCTATATACACTCCATCCAAATTATGACATTTTTTTGTACAATCGTAAATCGTTTGCGGGCAATTTGCCTACATTCAAGTGAGCACTGCAGTTTCACACGCAATCCAGTAATATTGTTAACGTGTCGGTCGTTGTCACCATGAGTGTAGTCGAGTTGCCCGTAAACAATTTGTGAATAATGAAGCTGCGCGAGGCATCCTTTAGACGCATGAGATGCACACGTATAGTCGTCGGTGCCAGAAAATCCCGACAATCGGCCCCCGGGGCTGCCAAAGTTTAATGTGGATCCAAAAAAAGGTGCTGGCCAGCGTGACTGGGCTGGGCAACTTCGGTGGCTCGTCGGCACCATATGCACTTGTTGGAAGCAAAGCATGCCAGAACTGCAAAGCACACTGCGTGGTTTTCTCGCTCAGAGCAACGGCTGAGAACAGTCGTCTAGATCTAGTAATATATGTAAGTGTGCTGCTGTTGCCAGGGTAGGGCGGGTGCACGCAACACGGAACGTACCTCTAAGATGAACGGATGCGCCAACGCCTGATGTACAGTGTACCGGCGATTCGGATCAACCACAAGAAGTTTACGGATCTAAAGAATGGAATCGAGACAAACAACAACACGCATGCATACCGGTACATGCATACATAAATTCTTAGTAGGAACCGGAGGTTTTCCTCTGGTGAGAAGGCAGAACTGCATCTGCTCTAAACAATTTCAAATCAAAGAAACAAACAAAAATGAGGTGAGCGAGTGCACAGGAAGATAGGTCCACAAACAAGAGAGTAATGATGACTGCACCATTCCGCCAGACAGAAGGAACCGATTGGACTACACAACAGAGAAAAGAAAGAAAAAAGTGAAATTGTGCGTGCGTGTGTGTGTGTGTGTGTGTGTGTGTGTGTGTGTGTGTGTGTGTGTGAGAGAGAGAGAGAGAGAGAGAGAGAGAGAGAGAGAGAGAGAGAGAGAGAGAGAGAGAGAGAGAGAGAGAGAGAGAGAGAGAGAGAGAGAGAGAGAGAGACAGAGAGAGAGACAGAGAGAGAGACAGAGAGAGACAGAGAGAGAGACAGAGAGAGAGACCGAGAGAGAGACCGAGAGAGAGACCGAGAGAGAGACCGAGAGAGAGACCGAGAGAGAGACCGAGAGAGAGACCGAGAGAGAGACCGAGAGAGAGACAGAGAGAGAGACAGAGAGAGAGACAGAGAGAGAGACAGAGAGAGAGACAGAGAGAGAGACAGAGAGAGAGACAGAGAGAGAGAGACAGAGAGAGAGAGACAGAGAGAGAGACAGAGAGAGAGACAGAGAGAGAGACAGAGAGAGAGACAGAGACAGAGAGAGAGACAGAGAGAGAGACAGAGAGAGAGACAGAGAGAGAGACAGAGAGAGAGACAGAGAGAGAGAGAGAGAGAGAGAGAGACAGAGACAGAGAGAGAGACAGAGAGAGAGAGAGAGAGAGAGAGAGAGAGAGAGAGAGAGAGAGAGAGAGAGAGAGAGAGAGAGAGAGAGAGACAGACAGGCAGAAAGAGACAAAGGCAGACAGAGACAAAGACAGACAGACTTACCATGTCCTTCGCCGAGTCACCTATATCATGCCACTCCGGTGCGGCAAAAGAGTATTTTCCATCCATGATCAGCCGTAGCATGAGCATTTGCTTGCGATGCCAGAATGGCGGGAAGCCAACTAACCTACAGCAATGGGAGAAACAACAACACAACAAAAGAGATCGCCATGAAAAACATCGGTATTCTCAGGAAGAGCACATCAAATTGGTGCACAACACCCACACACATACGTGCACGTGCATGAGCACACGCACGCACGCACACACACACACACACACACACACACACACACACACACACACACACACACACACACACACACACACACACACACACATACATACATACACATACTCAGACACACACACATACACACACACACACTCTCACACACACACACACACACACACACACACACACACACACACACACACACACACACACACACACACACACTCACACAATAGTACATGTATCATACTGCATGGCACATTTCGACTTCACTTACATAGTATATAGGATGACACCACATGCCCACCTGAAGACGACAAAGAGGACCAGAAGCAAGTTACAAGCATGCAAGCTTACAACAAGAACAAGAAAAAGAGCAAGAACAACTTCACATACTGCATATTCGTCAAATGTGTGTGTGTGTGTGTGCGCGCACACACACATGCACACAGTGCAATTGAATAATCAGCTCTCATTACCACATGCACCGGCCTGATAGAGTAGATTTTTTAGATTTTTTTTAGATTTAATACGAGATAAGTAGCAATGCTCAAGTGCCAACAGATATAACATAACTATAGCCAACACAATCTTCTCCCAGACAAGATCCTTGCTCCACACACCACTTGAACACAACCATGGCAACAACACAATCTAGCACAGCTATATGAGATAAAAGTACTCGTATTATTAAAGTCTTCACTGGTTTGAGGGGAAGACACAAACGGGAAAAGTCTGAAGAAAAAATCGACTGTCACCACCAGGATTCGAACAAGGGACCTTCGCTTGAGGCCAGCGATGCTCTAGCCACTGGGCTAAGGTGTAGCCGTCATCCCAACAGAGACCGCTCAACATTTTCTTCGCACTTCTGTATGTAGTCTATACAGCTATATAAATGGCTACATGCACCAGGGCACTAGTATGTCTGAGAGCCCAATAGCACAATCTGGCCTGTATCTTCAGCACGCGTGCATTCCGCATCTCTCAGTATTTGCTATGCGGGCCCATCCTGCACCACATCCAGTCAAGACTAGATGAGAGAGCCGATGTGCTGTCAGTGTGGGACTTGCCACGGAAAGATACTCTGGCCTGCATGCACGTATTGAGTGCAGCAACCAGGACAAGCCCACTGACGTTGCCCATGCGCGCGCACACACGCACACACGTGCATATACACTAGGGGTGAAACAATTATACCGAATACTCGAGTACTCGCTCGATTTTTTCAAAAATAATCGTACTCGGAATAAATCAGAGTACTCGTTCATACATGGTACATGCATTTACCACAGAAATCTGCAGTTTCAGAGCAGCCGTCGGCAGATATTGATGTGCAGACTGTGTGGTGAACATCTGTTTATGAGTAGAGAGAGCCCAAATGACCCACCAACCAATAGGTCCAATATACCCGAGAATAATGACTGCTACTCGGTTCAATCAGGGTTGTAACCTTTTATCATGTGATTTTAAGGCCCTTGGTGTGCAGTTTTTAGGAGATGAAGAATACTAGAATACTCGAATATTCGATCGGAGAAAATCAGAGTACTCGAACTCGGGATATCAATGCCAACTTTCACCCCTAATATACACACACGCATACAAGACACACACACGCGTACCTACACTCCCACACACACATACACACACACGCAAACACACACACACACACACTGAAACGAGGCTCACATGTCGACGGGCCTGCCGTATCCCTGTGCATCCGGATAGGTGGCGCACTTGAGCACTTCAGGAGCCATGTAGCCGGGGGTTCCACATAACTCTATCAGAGAACAACAACAACAATGCACACACACACACACACACACACACACACACACACACACACACACACACACACACACACACACACACACACACACACAACAACAACAACAACAACTTGTTCAGGGAAAGTTTTTCGTCGTCCCTGAAACAAACATCGTTCATTTTGCACCCCAGATCCCCTCCCCTCCCTCTGAAATGAACGCAGCTTGCTATGCCGGACGACGAAAAATCGCATGCATGTACATGTATATGTCCAGTGTCAGCAAGAGTACTCTTGGTGTCAGTTGACTTGCGATTTTGGCTCGCAACCCGATTGAATGTTCGTATCAGGGACGACAAAAGCCTTTTGAGAGGACCCCTACAATAGTTGGACGAGGGTGTTGACATCTCATCTCTGATCGCTTCCATGTATTTACAGTTGTACCTCTCAATGATGTGTCGTTAGGTATGACCGCAGCAAAGCCGAAATCTGAAAGTCGAACATTGAAGTTTTCCCCAAGTAGAATATTCTCCGGCTGAAGCAGACACGGAAACAAACACAAACATGCACACATGCGCACGCACACACACACGCACACAGGGAATCAGAGCGAGGCAAAGGAGAGAGAGAGAGAGAGAGAGAGAGAGAGAGAGAGAGAGAGAGAGAGAGAGAGAGAGAGAGAGAGAGAGAGAGAGAGAGAGAGAGAGAGAGAGAGAGAGAGAGCATGTGTGTGTGTGTGTGTGTGTAAGAAGAAAAAATGGAAACATTAATGAAAAATAGGGATTCACTGGCCAGAAAAAGTCAATTCAATCAGCTGTGTGGTGGATACCAGGCTAAAAATAGCGGCGGTCAATTCATCAGCCTTGCAAGCTGCTGAATGGTGTAATCCCAGCACAAGTTGCCAAGTCTAACATAGCTGTTCGCTATCATCGCTTCCGCGATGGGCAGGTCTGAGGTCTGAGGTGTGTGTGTGTGTGTGTGTGTGGGCGTGCGTGCACGGGGAACCCAGATGCCCACTACAGGTACCCTAGTGATTTACACCACATAACTAGTGATTTACACCACATAACTAGTGATTTACACCACATAACTAGTGATTTACACCACATAACTAGTGATTTACACCACATAACTAGTGATTTACACCACATAACTAGTGATTTACACCACATAACTAGTGATTTACACCACATAACTAGTGATTTACACCACATAACTAGTGATTTACACCACATAACTAGTGATTTACACCACATAACTAGTGATTTACACCACATAACTAGTGATTTACACCACATAACTAGTGATTTACACCACATAACTAGTGATTTACACCACATAACTAGTGATTTACACCACATAACTAGTGATTTACACCACATAACTAGTGATTTACACCACATAACTAGTGATTTACACCACATAACTAGTGATTTACACCACATAACTAGTGATTTACACCACATAACTAGTGATTTACACCACATAACATCAGAAGTGGATGCTGAGTGATTTACACCACATAACATCAGAAGTGGATGCTGGTGCACCAACTTACGGTGAAGTGTGAACCCCATCAATCATGGAACCTCCACACCAGTTATCTCTCTCCGAACATGCAGCCATACACACTCGCTCACACACACGCACACGCGCGCGCGCGCGCGCGCGCGCGCGCGCGCGCGCGCGCGCGCGCCCGCCCGCCCGCCCGCCCGCCCGCCCGCCCGCCCGCCCGCCCGCCCGCCCGCCCGCCCGCCCGCCCGCCCGCCCGCCCGCCCGCCCGCCCGCCCGCCCGCCCGCCCGCCCGCCCGCCCGCCCGCCCGCCCGCCCGCCCGCCCGCCCGCCCGCCCGCCCGCCCGCCCGCCCGCCCGCCCGCCCGCACCCACCCACCCACCCACCCACCCACCCACCCACCCACCCACCCACCCACCCACCCACCCACCCACCCACCCACCCACCCACCCACCCACCCACCCACACCCACACACACACACACACACACACACACACACACACACACACACACACACACACACACACACACACACACACACACACACACACACACACACACACACACACACACACACACACACACACACACACACACACACACACACACACACACACACACACACACACACACACACACAAAAGGTCACCAAGAAGCTGAAAGCGCACAGACGTAGCATACCTTGACGTCTCTGTGAACGATGTTGAGCGAATGGATATGCTCGATGGCAAGTAACAACTGCTTCATCACCATTCTACACAACAACAACAACATGAAAAGAATCCTATTGTGCGTTCCAATACTGGCGGAGTCCAGGAACAATACTGATCAACGAAATCCAGGCGAGTCACTCGAGTACAAGCCGGGCGTTGCGCAGCCCCAGACCTGTGAGCACTGGGTTGCGAAATGGTGCAGGGCGCAAACTTGATTCGCGGCGACCAGATTTCATTGAGCATCACCGTGCATTAAAACCACGTTCGTATCAACACCACGATACAGTCAGACCTCGCTTAACCGCATACATCTGTTTTCCACAAAAATAACCGGATAGGCGAGGGAACCGGATAACCGAACACTGCTTATGTTGGCTGCATCACGTATGCTGTAAATATGTAACCAGCTATTTTCTTCCGGATGACGAGGGATCCGGATAAAAGAGGACCGGATAAGCGAGGTCTGACTGTATGATGAAGTGTGCACGCAACAAACAGGAGTTCCTCACAATGCATACCATATACGTAGTGAATACGCAACGCCACTGGCCACGCAACGCTCGTGTACAGCGTCAAATTGTTCATTTGCTGCAAGCCCAAACAGCTATCTGTCTGTCTGTCTGTGCTGTGTCCCGTCTGTCTGGTAACGAAGAACTGGGGGCCAGCTCGTAGCCTGGGCTGTTCTGATTTTCATGTACCAGCCTCTGCCAGGTGGAATCACCGCGTACACATCGCTATACTAAGTCTGGTGAAATTCTAGCCTGTCCGTTCTTCTTTGGCGCTGCGGTACTGTAGTCTGTTCGCCTGTATCTTTGTACAGTGTTGGCAATTGAAAACCGACCCCTGATTGTCGTGCCCGAGTGCAGCACCGGTTCCGGCAGTCTCTACTTGGGCAGTGTTAGAAGCGTGTGCTGGGTTTTTCCAACGTGACTGCACCGAGCTGGGGTCGGATTTCACTAACCGCCACTGAGTGCGTTCGATTACTGGTATGCCCGCGAGTCGATTCATGAATCCAGTTATGAATCAATTCCAGCGCTCATGACATGAAATCAAACGGCGAGATTGCATCCATGAATCGATTCAAGTGCGCAATCGAACGCAGCCACTGTCGACAGTGTACATGTGTGTCTCTATCTCACCTTGAGCGCATCTCAGAGAAGCGCACGGCCTTGTTCAGCTGGTCAAACAGCTCACCGTGGGCTGCCCTGCAAGAAAAAAGACACAGCATAGAAAATAACAGACGCTTGTTGAACAGCAGCAGCAGCATCAGCCGGTGTGCGAGAAACTGACCTACGTCCACATCAGACTGCAACATTATATGCATGTCACATGAACATCCATTATGTAACGTTATCAGAACCCTGACAAAAATAGCAGCAACAACTCTACTACTTACAGTTCAAATACTAAGAAGAAATAGACTGGACTCTGGTACCATTCGTGTAGTTTGACTGCACAAGGACACACATACGCATGCACATGCATACACACACACACACACACACACCACACACACACGCACACACACACACACACACACATGTACACACGAACAAACACACAGAGCCATGAGCACAAACGATCGTGCACACAACGCCAACAGTTTAGATTTAGAATAGCGAACTTGTCAGTTTTTTTTATTATTGTTGCCAGTCGCACCTTTCAATTGCTTACTTAGGAAAGTGATGATTTAACACTTACTTATCTGCTCAGAACACACACACACACGCACGCACGCACACACACACAAACACGCACACACACACGCTTACTGATGTACTGGTGGCTGACACGCTCCAGGGCATCAATCTCCGTGCGAACGGCCTTGGCTAGGGTTATATCGATGGTCTTGTCGATGAATTTCACAGCATACTCTTTGCCAGTTTCTCGATGTACACACCTCCGTACAACACTGGATAAGCCTCTGCAAGAGAATACAAGGGAAACACATGACACCAGAACCGGCTCAACTGACGTGCGGGGGCACGGATTTAGAACAAACACAAGTCAACGCGCAGCGCCACACAAGCACATGCGCACACCATACCAGAACCCCACCGTCCTATATACAGCCGTGGTAAGTGAAATCCGACACTTGCCATAGGGGACAGTGCGACTGCCACAAATGGACATCAATGATGTAATGCACTGGAAGGAGCCTCATTTAAATTCTGGCTGATGGTGATGTCAGTCAGGGTGTCATCGATTGGCAAATCTGGATTGAGTGCGAGCAGGCGGTGTGGTCTGAGCAACGCTGGCCCAATCGAACAAAACAAGGGTGTAGTACGCAGCATGTACGCATATCTGGGGGATTCTGTGAAAGCCGTCCAAAAACACGAAAGTCCATTTCCACTCCAGCCACTCCCGGTGTGGGGGGGGGGGGGGGGGTGGTCGGATTCCACTCCAAGTACACCTACTCCGGATTTGATCGGATTCGGCCAAACGATCAAGCTCAATCGGAGCGCACCTGATCGGGATTCGCCCATTCAATCATAATAAGTAATTTTAAAAGTATTTGAACAAACGACGAGGAGACAATAGAGAGGTTCTGCTACACGGAACTACGTACGGAACTCCGTGTCAACTGCAGTGAAGTTTGACACGGATTTTTCGTACGTTGCACCGGTTCTGCTGTACGTAGCATGCTCATAGCATGCACGAACACCCCGCCACATGTACTCTGTACGCTCAGTTTTCACACGGAGTCCAGTCCGTGTGAAGCGCGCTCCACACGGAAAACGGTATGAAAAAATCCGTATGAAACTTGATCCCGTACCGCGGCGATGTTTCCATACGTACTTTGGCACGTTTTACCGTGTGGCAGAACCTCACTAATAACGTGATATCCGCGATCAATAAAACAAGCTGAATCGCCACTAATAATAATAATAAAATATTGAACGGCCTCTGCTGGGATGACGACTACACCATAGCTCAGTGGTTAGAGCATCGCTGGCTACAAGCGAGGGTCCCTGGTTCGAGTCCTGGTGGTGACAGTCAATTTTTTCTTCAGACTTTTCCCGTTTGTCTCTTTCCCTCAAACCAGATAATATATTATGACTTGGGGCTCCCCGCGTGCTAGTTTGTACGTGAAGTGTGTGGGTTACAGTGAGGGCTGCGTCCCACCCGCCTGTGTGGATTCACAGGAAGTGTGAGTTACGAAGTCTGGAGAAAATATTGAACGGCCTCTGCTGGGATGACGACTACACCATAGCTCAGTGGTTAGAGCATCGCTGGCTACAAGCGAGGGTCCCTGGTTCGAGTCCTGGTGGTGACAGTCAATTTTTCTTCAGACTTTTCCCGTTTGTCTCTTTCCCTCAAACCAGATAATAATAATAATAATAATTCAAACAGTAGTTTGGAGGCGGTGGGAAAAACAGTTTCGTAATACGTATTCGCATGCAACGACGCAAATCCACACAATTCAGTAGACACTTTTTCTATCAAACGTTTTCTGTGTTCCCTGATGTGTTCAACGTGTTTGTCTACAACTTGCAGCTGTTTGTTTTTGAGTTTTTAACACTTTAATCATTTTTAACACCTATGTTGAAGTGTTGACTTTTTCTTTCTTTCATTCTCTATATAGTTATGTGTTTTTCTAATTTCCAACATTCCCTGTACTATCCTGAAGAGAAGGGAAAGAAAACGTTTGATAGAAAAAGTGTCTACTGAATTGTGTGGATTTGCGTCGTTGCATGCGAATACGTATTACGAAATAATAATAATAATAATAATAATGACTGATTTGAGGGAAAGAGACAAACGGGAAAAGTCTGAAGAAAAAATTGACTGCCACCACCAGGACTCGAACCAGGGACCCTCGCTTGTAGCCAGCGATGCTCTAACCACTGAGCTATGGTGTAGTCGTCATCCCAGCAGAGGCCGTTCAACATTTTCTTCAGACTTCGTAACTCACACTTCCTGTGAATCCACACAGGCGGGTGGGACGCAGCCCTCACTGTAACCCACACACTTCACGTACAAACTAGCACGCGGGGAGCCCCAAGTCATAAAATATTGACTGATTTGAGGGAAAGAGACAAACGGGAAAAGTCTGAAGAAAAAATTGACTGCCACCACCAGGACACGAACCAGGGACCCTCGCTTGTAGCCAGCGATGCTCTAACCACTGAGCTATGGTGTAGTCGTCATCCCAGCAGAGGCCGTTCAACATTTTCTTCAGACTTCGTAACTCACACTTCCTGTGAATCCACACAGGCGGGTGGGACGCAGCCCTCACTGTAACCCACACACTTCACGTACAAACTAGCACGCGGGGAGCCCCAAGTCATAAAATATTGACTGATTTGAGGGAAAGAGACAAACGGGAAAAGTCTGAAGAAAAAATTGACTGCCACCACCAGGACACGAATAATAATAATAATAATAATAATAATAATAATAAAACAGGTTGCGTAATGAAGCAGCATAACGATAGATGTGCAAAGTCATGATGCCTGGTCCGCTTCTGTCCTGGGTTCACTACCCCGTGCGTTGCAGCCGCGAGCAAAACCAGCTCAGGCTGAGAGTTCCCTCCATGATTGCTTGTCCAAAGCGCGCATTCTGAGCCCATTCAGATCAGTCATGGTCTTCAGTGGCATGTCTCTGGCAGCTGTGCTTGCCTTGACTGCCATGGCCAGGTTCGATTTCGGGCGTCCACGCACACCGGTGACATCTCGACGGAAGTAGTTGTCCATTGCCTGCTGTGGTGGGCATCTGAGGGCATCCTCAGAACATGACCCAACATCCGGAAACGGCGGACAGCAACGGTGTGCGAAAGTGGCTGTGTGTATGCTCTGGAATATAGGTCTTTGTTGGAGATGATGGCGGGATACCTAATTCCGAACAAGTTCCGTAGTTGACGTCTATGGAAGGCGTTCAGCTTCTCCAGTGCAGCCTCTGAATCGCCATTGTGTATACTTTATTCATGAAGTGTAAAACGGTGAAGACAATGTGCAATAAAATGATGAAAACAGGAAGAAATAGTGTAGAGAAAAATAAGGATTCAAACAAGTTTTCGTACAACACTCATCAGGAATCGTCGTTGAAACAAAATTGAACTATTATAGAAAATCTAAGTTAGAGAAAAAACACTAAGAACAACAGCAGTGAAATTTACAAGTATATTGTTAACACACGCATTCATGATTGCTCTCGCTTTCATTGTTAAAATTCACACTTGTAAATTTCACTGCTGTTGTTCTTACTCTTAGTGTTATTTCTTTAACTTAGATTTGCTATAATAGTCAGGGATGATTTTACTGTCATTTTTTTGCATAGCAGTTTTCGCGACGCAAACGCCAAAATGCGTAGCAGTCCTTGATTTTTGATTAGCATTTCTTATTCCACAAAAAAAGTCCGTCCAGAACCGACATTCCTACCGCCTTGCTATACATATCCGACTTCGAATGTTTCACCACGTTGTCCTTCTTCAGAGCAGTCCCCGAAATCCCATCCACAAAAGACCGACTAAAATTTCTCAGCCCACGGAGGGAGGACTCGTGCTGTCTGCATAGCTGGCAGAAAATCAGCCGCGGTCACCGCTGCACCTGTAGCTTTCTCAGAACGAAGCCATTTCCTCTCGACATCGACCTCTGCCACCCACTTCTCAAAGGTGATGTGTCTTACAGACATGTTGGAGGCAGAACCAGACTAGACAAAAACTACAGAGAGAAGGACGAACGCGATTCCAGAATTTCCTCACGACCAGAAAGACCGACTGGCTACAAGCAGAAAGCTATAATATCACGAAAAGAGGTAAGTAAACCAGAAAGAAGAGAAAAAAACAAGACCTCCGCCGGGATCGTGGAGGAAAGATGATGCTTGTCAGTACGGAAAGTACATGAAATACTGAACTTACTGAATGAAAGCCGCGCAAAGTGGTACGTGTAGTTCAAGTAGGACACCAGTACAGTCAGTATGTGCACGCGGAGCCAGCAACAGTTCACAGGTACTACATGTACTAGAAATCACACCTTCCTGAGAAAAAAGCGGGGTCTGTGCACTGTACAGGTATAGCGAGCATGGTGAGTGTACGACACAGTCACAGCATCACTTTTACTGACTGCGCGAGGTACAGTATGCAGTGCCGTTTATGCATCGCAGTTTCCTGCGAGTCGCTGTGATTTTTGAATCGCACTCGATCGATTTTGAATCGCAAACTGCGATGCGATACCGGATAAATTCATCCCTGATAGTTCAATTTTGTTTCAGTGTCCTTTAATACAACGACGATTCCTGATGAGTGTTGGACGAAAACTTGTTTGTAATTGTTTGTACTTTTTCTCTACACTATTTCTTGCTATTTCATCGTTTTATTGCACATTGTCTCCACCGTTTTACATTGCAAGAATAAAGTATACGTCGATTCAGCTTGTCTTATTGATCACGGTTATCAAATTTTAAAAGTACGAATATTAAATGATCGCCCCTTTGTTCAATTATTTGATGGATAATACCCGTAGGTCACCGTGCAAAGCTGATCCACTCCACACGATATTGCATGGAGAAAATCAAATGAGCGCATAAAACGACACAATAATTCAGCCCCACATCATATGCAATAATTATGTATACTTTTTTTTAAATCTACAAACAAATTCACAGATCAGACACACAAGTCATCCAGGCCAGGATGTGTCAAGAATTCAACCTACTTTCCCAAGTCTCCCTTCGGCTCGTAGCTCTCGTAGAAGTCATCCGCGCCAACGCGGTCGAGCGGCTGTGTGCTCAATTCGTCCTGGGGCAGGGCCAAGCTTGTTCTCCGTCTGCGAATCTCCATTGTTGCTACCAGCGTCGATCAGACATGAAAATAAGGCGTTCCTTCACAAGATCTGTATGGCACTTGACTATGACAGGGAAAGTTGTCGTTTGAAAGAAAGAAAAACTTTTATCGAAGCCTACACACAGGAGGTGTTCAAACCGTCAACACTACCCAAGCCAGGCTAATAAAATTAATAGCAACTGAGCAAAACTTCCAAGAAACTCACAGGAAAAGTGCCACACATAATCATCCACATCGATATCGCGATATCGGTACGTAGATCACTTGACATTGATTTGCCTCAAATAAAAATTTGTGTGGAACGTGGGCTGTTTGCCTTTTGCCTTTTTTTGGGACAGGATGCAGGAGGAAGCGACTCAAGCTTGCAAGCGAGTGGTTCGTACAAAACTCAAAAGCCGTTTGTATTTGGGCTGGTTTTCTTGCCATGCATGTATGTGTCCTCAAAATTAAAACGGATAAAGGGACCTGCTCGCCAACGATTTTCAAAAGTATTACGTCGTAGTCACGGTCAAGTCCCGTGATCCCATCGATTTGCTTGTGCTTTTTCACGCAACTGAGCGAATGCTCGGGAGTTTGTCACCTGGGAACAGAAAATGGCGTTTTGTTGAAGCGTGATGACGCGGAGATAGCGTGTACGCACATTCTGGACTTTTTGCCCTTTTCTTTTACCAAAACTAAAAAGTGTTATGCAGCAAAAACTTGTGACAAGACGTTTTGAAATGGTCAGCAGCCTACTTCGAACGCAGATTGTCTTGGGGAAAGTAGCTGAAACAGCAACGTTGCCCGTCATTGTTCCTTTGCGTGTTCGGGGACTTGACGCCCTAGTATGCACGTCCCTACCCGTATATGATTCGCTGGCCGCGCCTGTGCGCGTGTCGCGTTGCGAAATACGACAAAGTCAGAAGGCATGCATTTGCTGGTTGGATTTCTCAGCCCATCTCTTACGTAGCAGTTGTTGCTTCGCTGCCACGCAGCCATGCCGGCATCTCAGACGGCCGAGCAGCAGGCTAGCACGAGGCCAACGTGTCATGGAGAGCTGTTCTTCATGTACGACCAAACCGCCATGCATGGCGAGGAGGGACAGCTGGACGAAGCGGTCCTCTACTATTACCCAGAGAATGAGTTCAAGGGCGACATGCTAGATGTAAGCAGTAGGCCTGTGTCGAGCTACGTCGGGTTATGAATGGATATGTACATGAGAAGCACACACACACACACACACACACACACACACACACACACACACACACACACACACACACACACACACACACACACACACACACACACACACACACACACACACACACATGCACACCTATGTTTGCACGTACACGCGCACGCACACGAATGCATGAACGGACACACATGCAAGCACAGACACGGACACACATGCAAGCACAGACACGCGCACACACACACACACGAACACACACACACACACAACAGCACCAGACCCAGTCCCACGTTACCTGTACACTCGCTGTGAAAGTGGGCAGTTAGCAGATATCCAGTAGCATGCACAGTGCCCATTGACGTGTGTGTTTCTCTGTGCCCATGCCTCTGCCGTTCATGTTTGTATCTGTGTGTGCACGTGTAGTCAATTGAGACGCAGCATCGGATAATGCAGATGATGGGTGTCAGTCAAGCGCTGGTGGATCTGAGTGGTGAAATGCCCACACTTGTGACGTTTCGAAAGGAGCAAATAGCCCTGCGCCACTGGGGTAGATACACGCTGGTGAGTCTGCTGCTAACAATCATGTATTGTTTGTCGGGTGTGTGGAGTGGGGATGTGTGGGGATCTGTGTGTGGTGTGTGTGTTGTGTGTGTGTGTGTGTGTGTGTTCATAAATACTTGATGTATCAGGTATGTGAGTGTGTGCATATGTGCGTGTGTGTGCGCACATGTGTGTGTGTGTGTGTGTGTGTGTGTGCGTGTGTGTATGTGTGTCTGTTTGTGTATGTTTATGTGTGTTCATACACTTGATGTGCCAAATAGCCTACACTCTTTGAACACGCCTGATGATGTACTCACCTTCTGTCTTTCGTTCTGCTTTCCTGTGTTGTGTGCACAGGCGTTGTCTGCACCACTGAAGGAGTCATCCTATCGCCTGCAACGCTTACTGGACAAGCTCTTCGATGTCTTTACGTTCTTTCATGGCAGTCTGGAGCGAGTACATCTGGTGAGTTTTGTCGTGGCGAGGGTAGAGCATCTAAAGTGTGCAATGGGATGTATGCATCAATTTCCCGCCATTAGGTTTTGCGGGCCAAGTCCACTACAACCGTACACACTGTGATACCAGCTCTGCATAAAAGGTCGTGAACTTTGTGAGGTCATACTCATAAATGTACTATAACGGGTTGTACCTGCCAAGTATGGGGTAACTTGCCCCGCAAAAAGGTGACGGCCATCTTAGATGCATACATCCCATTAAAGAATTTTTTTTACGATCTTGGATGTGATCTCTTGTTTGCAGTGAATGTCGTTGGAGATGATGTGTAGCAGGTTGTGACGCGAGCACGTCGCCAGTGCAGCTGGCGACGCATGCCCATCTGGACATGCAGCGTTCTGTCAGCGCACTCGCAGTGCACTCGTTTCACGACTTGCTGGACATGCCTGTTGATGATTTCTCACGATGACAGTTGAGCGCTAGGTCTATATAAGTCCATCCTATCGCACTGAGCTCACACTGTCGAATTTTTTTGATGCGACCTGTCTGTATCTTTGCTGTTGCTGTTGCTGCTGCTGCTGCTGTTGCTGCTGTTGTTGTTGTTGTTGTTGCTGTTGTTGTTTGCACGGCTTACAGCAAGCGCAGAAAGACCTGGACACGTTCCGCTACTTGGTCTCGACCATCTGGTCGTGCTACCTACCGTTTGTACGTCGCTTTGGCAGCAGCACTGCATCACTCTTCCATCCGTTACCTTACGTACCTCTACCAAAGGTAAGACACGGGGAAAGCATTCACCGCTTCAACTACAGTGAAACCTGTCTAAGACGACCGCTCAAGGGACCTTCAAAATGTGGTCTCTGATACCAGGTGGTCTCCTCATCCAGGGTCATTTGACTGGAAATAGCATCCCTTGGTCCTGGTTGCGGTGGTCTTCTAGGGCAGGTGGTCGCCTTATCCGAGAGTGGTTGCCTTGACAGCTTTTACTGTACAGTCCGTTCAGTTAAAATAGTGGCATTGACTTTTGAAGCCAGATTTTGGCCGAAATAAATCTCAAACCCACTTTTAAAAACTCCAAAATCTCTGTATTTGACCTGCTTCTCCATGCATTTTTTATGCCTGTCCAAATTTTGTAAAATCTGGCGGTCTTTTGACACCCCCTTGTCGGGTGGTGTGTGTTACTGTTAGTGGTGTGCACGGGTAGTCGGGTACCCGTGCTACCTGTGAGGACCTCGGGTAGTCGGGTACCCGTGCTACCTGTGAGGACCTCGGGTAGTCGGGTACCCGTGCTACCTGTGAGGACCTCGGGTAGACGGGTACAGAATACTGTAGTACCCGAAAACCCAAAGTTGCAGATGACATCGTGTACAGTGCACGTGTACACATGCATGTAATACTCAGCATGTCTACCCAGTTTGTAAGGGAAGGGGTGCATTGTGGTGTTACCATGGAAACATTACCCGATCGGGTACCCGTGCTACCCGTGGAAAATTACCCGAACCCGATACCAGAATAAAATGCTACCCGACCCAGCCCTAGTTACTGTTCTTGCTTTCTGTGTGTAGAGAGAGGGACATCTCTTCTTGCAGGCTAGTCATATCTTGCAGTCGGGTCAGCGCTTACCCTCGGTGCTTGGTGGTGCGATTCTCTTCCAAAGCCGGTAAGCATGTGGGCGTGCGGACGTGTGTGTGTGTGTGTCTGCGTGCTTCCCATGCACGCCAATAGTATGCAGCAGCAGGGATTGCATGCCAGTCTTGATCTGTTTCTTTTGGGTCTTGTCTGCTCTTGAAGATCAGTGTGTGTAGGTCCAGTATTGGCAGACATGCGTGCTTCTCTTGCGACGGGCGTACATGGTATATTGTGTGTGCGTGCGTGTACGTGTGCGTGCGTGCACGTGTGTGTGTGTGTGTGTGTGTGTGTGTGTGTGTGTGTGTGTGTGTGTGTGTGAGAGAGAGAGAGAGTGTGTGCGCGCATGCGTGTTTGTGTCTGTGTGTGTGCATGTGTGCCTTCGTGTGTGCTTACGAATACAGGATCCTGTGCACGCAGCTTGAGCCAATCTTGACTCACCACTGTCTATCACTGATGTTCTCACCAGAGAGATCTGAGGTATGTCAGCATTTTTATTTTATTTTTCTTAGAAATGAATTTCTAGATTCCCAGCAATGCAAGATTCATCTGTTATTGAGAGTCTAGCCTGATGGTTAGACGAGAAGGCAGAAATGCCTGTGTACCTGGTGAAGTAAAATATAAACAAACAAACAAACAAACAAACAAGATGTATGCTAGTACCGGTTTTGTCTTCTGTCCATTCATATCTGCTCATTACCTCAGGATGACAGCCCTGTCGATCACCCGGGGATTCCCCTCCCCACTGCAATCGGTAAGGGTGACACGCTGATGATGTAATCTCCCTGCACTGTGGTGATGTCATGCGGGATTGGAAATGTCTATGTTTGTGCATCGGAACGACCCACTGAATATGTACAGAATACTTGGTGGCGTTGCTAATAGCCATGCTGTCTTCCACACGTTCTTTCAGATGTTTGTGCGGTGTGGTGAACCCATGAGTGGAGGCATATTTAAAGTCCACCCGTAGGTTGGGTATTTCGGGGTTGTCTACCGTTGGACGGTTCGATACTACAATTGTAGTAGCCAATTGAATCGTCTTTCCAAGATCTCTGCTCTCCCAACGGAAGACCCATGTGGCCAGCTCATGGCAGTGAGCAAGTACAGTACAGTGTGTTGGCATGTGTGTGTGTTGGGGGGGGGGGGGGTGCGTGTGTGTGTGTTGCAATTGCGGTTGGCGTTTCAGTAGACCACAGGACCTATCCCGTCATCGCCCCTACTGTTCCGAACCTGCTCAACCCCCCCATGGGGTCCGCATGGCCAGATCCAAGGTGCATGTGTATGCGCGCGCGCGTGCATGCGTGAGTGTATGGGTATGTAAGTCTTGCGACGGGTGGATTCATGGTACATGGTGTGTGTGTGTGTTTTGTCGTGTTTGTTTGCTTGTTGACGCCTGCGCACACAGGCGACCGCATACCGTCCAGCGTACGCCTGCTCAACGTGTTTGTGACGGCGGAGCAGTACGACTTGCTGTGCCAGGCGTCGCTCGGCGTGCTCGGCGCTGCGGCCTGCATGTCGCGCGCCAGTTCATCGACGCCCAGTGCCAGCAGCCGCTCTACCTGTCATAGTGGAGTGTCCACTGGTGGTGGAGGTGGTGAAAGCAGTGATGTGTTTGTGTCGCTGTCATCCTCTATCTCCAGTATTCCACTAACTGCCTGTGAGTAAAACGTGTTCTGTTGAAATGTGCTCCCTGATTCGAGATTGGTACCTGTTGGAGCACGTGCTATGTGGAGGTGGGGGGTGCGTGTGTGTGTGTGCGTGTGTGTGTGTGTGTGTGTGCGTGTGTGCGTGTGTGTACATCGGAATAGGACTGCGAAGACAGTTGCCTATGCACACCCTACATACCCAGGTGTGCATTGGGAGGGGGGGGATTGATTCACATGGCTTCGCCAGTTGTGTGGATTAGACAGTTATCTGACACTGGTCTTGATCTGTTTCAATCAGAATCAGATCCACTATCGTTGTTATAAAGAGAAAATCTGTGGACGCACGTCCAGGGCATTTTCAGATTTGCATCCTTCTCTTGCGAAGGGCGTCTACATGGTACATGATGTGCATGTGTGTGTGCGGGTGTGCAAGTAACATCACACATGCATAAGTTCTGTTACTCCTAAGTCCGGCTGCACGTTTGCAATGCACCCATGCATTGTACAGTGTTGCTGAATGAAATCCAGTCGCGTCACTCAAGTACGCGCCGGGCGTTGCGCAGCCCGACACCTGCGGACACTGGGCTGCGTAATGGTGCAAGGCGCGACCTCGAGTAACCCGACTGGATTTCATTGAACAGCACTGCAGTACCGTGGTAGGATTGTCTTCACTGGCCGGCGAGCCACGCGATGAGATGCACTGAAGCTCTTAGTAGTAGTATTTATTATTTGACTAGGGGAGTCCCAACAGGCATGGCCTTGTTACAGAGAACCCTAGGTTCTTAAGTGACCATCAGTCTTCTCTATTAACCCTGGCTGTGGGGTGGCATTAGGTGGAGACCACCATGTCAGCTGTGTAGTGGACTCGTACCAATACAACGTACAGTCAGACCTCGCATAACCGCACACATCCGTTTTCCACTAAAATGTCCGGATAGGCAAGGGAACCGGATAATCGAACACACGTACTGTATGTATGCATGACATATGCTGTAAATCGGTAACCAACGATTTTCCTCCAGGTGGCGAAGGATCCGGATAAAAGAGGACCGGATAAGCGAGGTCTGACTGTAGCAAAACTTAGAAATGGAGTCGTCCCATTGGCGACGTGATAGTGGTTCTGCGACGTTCTCTCGTCCTGGCTTGTGGTGAACAGAATAATGCTAATCTGCCAAAAACTCCACCCACCTGGCCTCGCGCTTAGTAAGGTGGGGTTTTGGTTCTCAAGTGAACCACTGCCATATTGTCAGTGAGGAGCTCAAATTGACTGAACAGGTAAATACTCCAGCATTTGAGCGAGATTACGACTGCAAGGGGCTCTGTTCTTGGGGCATTGCATCAACGGCTCCCACATTTCACAACGAAGCAAGTCAGCAACTTCGGGATTGTTAGAGTTGGGGATACTCAGAGGTAGATCAAGACCAGAGTCGTCCCCAGCTGTGACCCATGCTAAGAATCCTTGTTCGCCATTTCTGAGCGCATGACTAGCCTGACAGCCAGAAATGAACATGTTTACGATTTGCGAGTCTCCGTCCTTGTCCTGAGAAGGTGCACTTGGCAGGCCATTCCCGTCCACGATTATGTCGTTGGTCCGGAAATTGATTCGTGGGTTGTTCCTAGTCAACCAGGGCTTGCCCAATATCGCGTCGTAGCGGGCGAGGGGAAAGACGGTAAACTGCTGAAGTAGAAAGGACCATAATGTACGAGTTATGACTAGCTATCCACCAAGCTCGTGACATTTTGGTCCTTTCTCTTAAGCATCAATACTATTGACCACCGCAGTTTCTCCTTGAGCCGCGGGTAGATCGGTTTGACTGCCTTCATGACAGCAGCTGGCGTGATGTTGCGATGCTCATAAGAATCTCGCTTTCCAGCTCGAACGAGCTGCCAGCCACACCAAAATTCAGGACCAGTTGGACAGAACATTTGCAATTGATTATCATCACTTGAGACATAATAACTGGGGCTGGCCCGAATTGCTCTCGCTATGTCATGCTAATTATTCTCGTGCTCCCCGATGGCATTGTCGTGATAGGCCTGCACTATGTCGACACTCTTGTCACTCAGCCTCCCCTGGTCACCGATTGGCCTTCCATCATCTAATGTATGGCCGTTCGGATTCTTCTTCAGGCTACGCAAGCCACAAAATTTTAAAAATGTGCAAATGTCGAGGATGACATCGACAACCGCCGAGTTTCATGAATCAACACACCGGAATTTGAGAAATTGAACATACTTCAGGCCAGGTTGTACACAAATGCGCTTCTGCGTATGTCCAACGAATTCTTCCTTTTTCCACTGGGGAACCCGGCCGATACAACTGAGATTCAACGACTGCAGAATAACTTTTCGAGTCACCATCACCGATAAATACAATATATGGTACTCAAGATCCCTATTCGGCTGGGACCGCTGTCACAGAGGAACAGCAGCCTCGGCCTCACTGCCTGGAGCAGATCGATCCGTATTGATTTTACAGGTTTTAGCGTGGTCAGCCTTCCATGCTTGGCATTCAGCAGCCGTGATATTGTCATGCTCTCTCTCTCTCTGTCTCTCTCTCTGTCTCTGTCTCTCTGTCTGTCTCTCTCTCTCTCTCTCTCTCTCTCTCTCTCTCTCTCTCTCTCTCTCTCTCTCTCTCTCTCTCTCTCTCTCTCTCTCTCTCTCTCTTCCGCATCCACTGCTTGCATCCATGACAGTACTTTGTTCTGATATTGAAATCCGGAACACGACCAACTTCCCAGTCAATGCATGTGAATACACCGTGCAGAGATGCGAAGCCGCGCTTTATCCATGTGCCGTCAAACCTTACTTCAGCAATTTGATCTCATCTTTTCTTCTGCTTGCTCAAGGTCAACGTCTGCACCTCCCGGGCTGCTTGCTGCACTCTGCTATCAACAACGGGCTATTCTGTTGGCTGCAATCATTCTCGGCACATTGTATGTGGCTATGTGCATATAGGGCATCACCCTCGCTTTCTAATAGGCCTCGTTGAGATCACCCAGACTGGTGTACTTCTTCACAAATGCTTGGCAGAGGTGGAACACCTCAGGATGATCATCGGGCTGCGCATTCGGTGCACGTGTAGGCATGAATTTCGTGAAAGCGTCCGGCAGGTTTTCCTTCAGCCTCTTCTTCGCCACCCCGTCTAGGTTCGTCGAGTTAAGATTTCCTTGCTCAGTCTTCTCTATCTTGCTAAAGAGGCATGCATATTTGGAGCGACCTGCAAGGCGTTCTGATGAAGCTGGAAAGTTGACTTTAATACAGGTGGTGGTGGCAGTTTCCTGATACCGCAGAATTTACACAGACCCCTTTGACCCTTTCCTATTGACCTCGTCGCAAGCACACTGCGTCTATTACAATCATAAGAATACTGCTCGGACCTGGGTATAAGTGGATCTTTGTTCATACCATCGCAGCCAGCATTGCTACAAACTAAAGATATGCAACTAGCTATGAAAGCCAGCATGATCGGTCTCCTTGATAATCAAACTGCCAGTTCTACAAATTTTGCAAGCACAAATGTCTGAGACAATTTGTCTGCAGGCACTCCATGTCAACAAGGCGATATCCAGCACACTCTTGCTCACTGCCATCGCTACTGCCTAGCTCAGAATCTTGGGGAGAGCTGCCTTCGTCACTGCTTAGCTCAGAGTCTTGAGGAGAATTGCCTTCGTCACTGCCTAACTCAGAGTCTTGAAGAGAACTGCCTTCGTCACTGCCTAGCTCAGAGTCTTGAGGAAAGCTGCCTTCGTCTTTGCTTAGCTCAGAGTCTTGAGGAGAACTGCCTTCGTCACTGCCTAGCTCAGAGTCTTGAGGAGAACTGCCTTCGTCACTGTCAGCCTCAGAAACACTAGCGGCGCTCTCAGAATCGCCTCTCAATCACTTGAATAACAGGTGTCGACACGACTGTCTGGGTTTGAGTACGACAACGAGTCCCTCGCACAGGACTATGATGAATAGCCAGCAATCCATCTGGGAAATTCTACATCAGGCTTTCGCTCTGCAGCGGACACTGGCACTTTCGGCCTGACTTGACTCAGACTTTGAATCGCCGTTTGGAACAGCCGTAGCAGCGGTAGACTGCCCAAAATACCTTTAAGAACGCTTCTTGGGAGCGATAGGACAGTTTCCTTTTCTCCATGACCCCTCCTGACGACTTCTTGTAGTCCTGAAACCCCAACCACTTTTCTTGCAAACTAATCAAATGCGGCCGCCATGTTTTGCATATGTTTCTAATGGCAACAAAACTGCGAAAATCCATAATGTAAGCGATTTAAACCCATATCCGACCAGCCAGTCAAAAATCCACGACTATCCGTCGATGACTTTATCAACCTGTAACTCGCTCATTTTTTGATCAAATCTGCACTATTTTGGTCTCAAAAGAAGTTCTTCTACATTCAAAATTTATTAGCATGAAAGATTGAAAGTACAAATTTAAGACTATAGATAACCCATATGTTGAAGAACCGAACTTCTCTTCAAACGTATTGGAGAAGAATTTTTGTTCCTCGTACAAACGAAGGCTAGAAACTGTTTGTAGAGAACTCCTCATGGCTCAAGCTTTATAAAAAGCCCAAGATTGCCAATTTCACCTAAGGGAAAAAGTTGTCATCAAAATGGGTCGCGGCGTCTCGCTCGGGCTGAGAATTTGTGCACTTTGTCGGTCGGATAAGGGTTAAAATTATATTCTGTTGATACCACTCGGATTGAGAGCCAAGGATTAAAATGAAAAAGTGAGAAAAAAGAGAGGGTATCTTAGTTATATTTGTCAGTGTTGGACACGAACATGGATAACTTGTAAACTTTTGGTCCTTTTCTATTGATACCGATCATCATTTCCTTGCTCCCGTTTGTATTGTTATTGTTGTGGTAGCTGGCCGTTCGTCTGGACTTGAGTCACGGAGCTTGACTCCGCCGTCACCGCTCAGTTCTAGATCATCGTCTCCGTGGACAAGCGGGCAGCTGTCACGCTCCGCGTCCTCGGCTGGTGAGGAGCTGTGTGTGTGTGGGGGGGGGGGGGGGGTGTGTGATGTGATTTGATTCGCATTAAAGAGACCGTATTGAGCAGTGAGGTTTCATACATGCGTAAGTGGCTGCATTGGAGTTTACGGACAATAAGACAAGTTTGCAGACCCTATTTGTTCTCTTCGCTATTTACGAATTGGGTGCGTGGTTTCAAGTAAAAAAATAAAATAAAAATCTTCCTACTTTCATCGTTGTATTGTACGTTGTCACCACTGTTTTACACTGCATGAATAAAGTATACACAAATGTCGATTCAGCTTGCCTTATCGATGGCAGTTCACAAGAGTGGACTAACGTTTATCTCAGCTTGCCTGTGGTTTCCTCTGTCTTGGCCGTTGGTTCTTAGCCGGCAATGGCAGCAGACCACGTTTGGTTTCCAACTGGATGAGTGAAGGACGGGGACCAACCTCAAGTGAGCAAAGTCCAAACTCGCCACGGCATTATATACCGGAGGATGTTTCTCCGACCATGGGTTATCTCAGGAGGCATCCCGGTCATGGCACAATGGGACGTGGATTAGAGAACGCGCTCAGGTAGCCTGTGTTAGAGATAGTGTGCTGTGCTGTGCTGTGCTGTGCTGTGCTGTGCTGTGCTGTGCTGTCGGTGTGCAGATGGAGAGTGTGTCTGTGTGTCTGTGTGTGTGTGGGGGGGGGGGGGGGGGGGGGGAGGGGTTGTGTGCGTGAATGTGTATGTGCGTGCACCTGTGCCTGTGTGTGTGTGTGTATGTATGTGTGTGTTTGTGTGTTCGTGTGTTTGTATATTTGTTTGTTATTGCCAGCCTGACCCGCAAGGCCATGGTTGTTAGTGTTCTTTGCTGGAGGTCCTTGTCATACATTTAGTTTGTACACGTACTTAAATATTATAGTCTCTCCCCCATATTCAAGTCTCTGCCTAAACAGACTGCAGCAGATAGCAATTTGCTGACTCTGTCTTCTCTTGCAGTAGAGAGGCAGTGTGTTAATGTGAGTTATAAGTGAGTCACGCTGAATTGCATCTCACACTTCTACACACGCCCGCTCACATGCACACGGACTTACGCACACACACGCACACACACACACACACACACACACACACACACACACACATACACACACACACACACACACACACGCCCGCTCACGTCTTCTGTGACCTTGCGGTTTGTTGTAAGAAGGTGTCACGCGTATTTGCATTGTACAGTATTCGTTGAAAAGCTGCACACATGTGTATGACCTTCTCTGCTGGCTGTGAGTATATATACGGTGAACCAGTTAAGTGTAGAGTACCGTGAATACTGGTTTTGACATACAGTAAAACCTGTAGCTAAAGACCACCATGACTAGTGACCAACCTGGTACTAAAGACCACTTCGCCAGGCACGGACGGTCTCACATTCATATACACGCATGGTTGACTGGTTGTGCAGTGCAAACCTCTAACTAAGGACCACCTGCCACTAAAGACCGCTTTCTCTGGCCCCAAGGGGTGGTCGTTAGTCACAGGTTTTACTGCATGGTTGTGTGGTGCAAACCTCTAACTAAGGACCACCTGCCACTAAAGACCGCTTTCTCTGGC